ATAATCAAACAAGACAAACTAAAATCTCTGTACAGAGTTGTCAGAAAATTTCGAAATTTCGGAATTTTAACCCCCGTAATATTTGCCCTCTCGCCATTCGACACCCAAAAACTATCTCAGGCTAAAATGATTTAAGTATATTCAGCCCAGAAGTATACGTTAGCCGTATTATTCGACACATATATTCACCTACAATTAGGGAAAGTTTTTCATTCACAGGGCGACCTTTCTGAGCAAATTGATGATTTTTCGCTGAAACACGTGAACTATGATTTGTTTATTTTAAGGCAGCAGACTTGACAGCTATGCCAAAAAATTTAAATGTAACTTGGCTAATTTTATTGTATAAATTAAACTTTTTATTCATCGATATCTAACGAAAGCCGAATTTTGAACTAAGGCCGTTGAACTGCAATGTACTACAGGGCGAAATTTTTCTTCTGCATGTTCATCTTCATTGTCTAAATTACATTTTTTGTTGAACAAGGGACCCGTGAAACAAAAGGCGGAAATGAAAGGATGCGCCGCTATGTATCAATTCAGATTCAATTATTATAATAAGGACATTTTTTTGTTTTCCAATCAAATTGGCATGTAAGTGGTGAATATTGTCACGTTTTCGGGTATTTACTTGATTTTTATTAGAATTTTTGGGAATTGGCTATGCTTCAGTAGGATTCGCAATGATTGAGTCACGTCCATTGATGTGTTTATTGCGGTTTTCCTGTTTGTATATTTAGTTCCTTTTTGTTGCCCTACATACTATTTACTCATTATACGATGGTGTGTTGCTAAATAATTTATTGGACGTTAACGAAAACGATCTCTCGCTGCAAACGACTTGCGCAACAAAGCGTTTGATGCTTGAATGCATCATAAAATATGACAGACGTTTTAAAAACTACTTACTTGCGGTCCGCTATCTGCATAAATGTGAAATTAAAATTGATATAGACTATTAGAGGATGCGTAGCAAAAAATATAAAAGAATTTACACACGACCCAAAAACTCACATTTTATTGCTATTGTAAATTTATTAAGAGTTCCTGGTAAAAGTCGTAAATTTAGATAATTTAACTTATTTGACAAAAAAGAAAAATTAATATTCTGCATTACGTGAAATATTCAAAATTTAATTGGCACAAAGTACTACTCACAATCCAAAAATTGTAAAATGTGTCAATTTTTTATTATTAAAAGTAATTCGGCTTAAGGCTCTTATTCTTGCGTAGAAAGTGGTCTTCAGTTTGATCGAGTCCGCTTCACCGAATTCGTTAAACAATCAGCATTTATTATTTATAATTAATTACTTAATTGGATCCCGACTGTCTTACAATTCATTAGCCTTTTACGCCATAAACTTCTTTTATAATTATATTGCAGCCGATCCTTATGCTTGACATTATTTTACTGACTGATGCGACATCGCCACATCTGCACTTTTTGGCATACCTTCCCCTTGTGCTACCCCCATATCTGAATAGATGTTTTTCTCCAACGGTTTGAGGCAATACAGAGAATTTCTGTGCTGCTAAATTCCTCGGTGTAAATCCAAAATCCGAAATCTTGTACAACTAAATCTCGGCTATCTTCTTCTTTGTATGAGTGAAAAAATCGCATTTTTTTATTTCTATATTCTCTGATTCTTGAAATTTCAAATGCTACATTATTTAAGGGCGTATTAGCTTAGGAAGATTAGAATTTTTTGCATTATCGATAAGGGATGCACCATCTACCGATAGGAATTTTATTTTTAGTGTAGTTTTTAAAATGACGGAAGCGCAGAATCATTCAAATTTAAATGTAATCTTGTAATGTATTAAAACAATCTATCTTTTATAACAAATAATTGTTTTTTGTTTCGACAGAATTTTTTGTACAAAAACAGAGAGCCACATTCAATGATACCTACATCATCAATTTGGCTGCCATAAGAATCACGTTTGGAAAATTTCCCTAAAAAATGTTTCATAGTGTAAACCTCTTATTGCTACAAGGTTTTTTTTGTAGATTAATAATGTTAATAATGATTAAAAATGTACAATAAGAAGTTTCCACAAGATAAACACTTCAAAATTTGCATAATTATTTGCAGATTTGTGCTAATTTAACTACTTAAATCCCCAACATTCACGATGCACAGGGTGTCCATTTTGCACAAATATTGTAAATGTTGCCTAAAGATCCACCCTGTATTAAAAGAAAATTGAGTAGTATTCAGCGCTAAAGATTAAAATTGTTTATTAAAAAAATTCCATACAACTAAATACCAAACAATCCTCCAGATCTTCTTGCATCCATTATTTTTAAAACATACATGTCCCAGCAAATCAGCATAACTTGTAAAACAAATTTTTTGAATCGGTTTTTGAATCGGCCTCAGTTTGTAACGAGATCGGTTACTTCACGTAAATTTTTTGCCATCCTTTTCCCTAAAATATGCGAAAGGATAATTTCCCAGTTTAAAAGAAGTCAAGCTTTCCACCAAACACATTCATTATGTAGAGTCAAGTTTTTATTTTGTCTTTTCAGACTTTTAGCTTACGGAATCAAAATCGAAATTTCATTACAAGAGAACCAAATTCAAAGGTCATTCATACGTTAAATGTGTCACCGTAAAACAAATTTAGGTTGTGTTTGAAGTGTAAATTGTTGACGTTTCAATTTCATTATATTGCTCTATCTTATTCAAAGATGTGGTCACTTCAACTTAGAAGTTAACTATTCAAATTTACGCCAGGTAGAATTTTATCATTTAGAAATTAGAACATTCCGTAGAAAAGCAATGATTCAAAGGACCCCTTTTGTAGTAACTTTTTCAGCCAATCTCTTAAGAAAACACAGAAATGAAATAGAGAACCGACAGAGCTAGTCACCGGCTTAATTAATTTTATTTTTGTGATACAGTTTTCTGCTTACAATTCCACCTTTAACAAAAAAAATAAGGTAATTTGTCAATTAATTGCAGCAAAGCATTATTATATATAAAAAAACTCCAGATGCAAGTTTTACCTTTAGGTGCCGACGTACAAATTTCATTTAAGTAATATCTTAACAAGTAAAAAAAATTGCGCAAATAAAAAAGTTCCTTGAGGTTTAGGGAATATAACAGGATATTCATGTTGTTTGTATATAATAAGAATTATAAAAGAGACCCTTTTTTGAGCTTTTAGCTGTAACTTTTTAGCCTGATAGTCTACGTATAGATCAAAAATAGCGATCTTTCTTATATCCTTATGAACATTTCTAAACAAAGTTAGCATGCAGATGAACAGACTGCAGACACCAATATAAAATTATAAACGATCGAGGATCGTTAATATAAAACTGACCAATACATACTTTTTATACAGGACTAGATTTAGTTAAGGACTAATTTGCATGCATCCGTTATCCGCAGACAACGGATGCTTCACATTTTTTTTAATGGTGATATTATTTATATGCCAAAATGTATTTAAATAATTTATCAATTCGTACATCAAAGTAATCAAACCTAATTTTCTTAGACTTTTCTGTGAATCTTCTTCAAATTTTCTAGAATCTGTAAATAAACTTTAAATCTACAGAACCTCCATAGCGTAGATTTTTTTAAGTCTTGGAATCTTGAGAATCTGAAAATCCCCCTCATTATCACATTATGCTGAATTTTTTTTAATATCTAGCAAATAACGTTGTACTTCGTTATTTTTAGGTTATCGCATTATGTTGAAAGGTCCCCTTGTCTGTCACCCACGAAATAAAGGATGCGCAATGTTAAGTTAGGAACTTTGTTTAACATTCTTTGCAAATTACTGCTACTTTATTAAATAAAGCCTAATATATTATTATGAAGTTCTCAGTTTTCTTAGAATTCATCATAGAATTCTGAGAATACTCCCAAAATCTTCTTAGGACCTCTATAGAGTCGTGTAAATTTTCTAGGATCCTTGGAACCCAGAGCCTTGAGAATCATTAGAACCTTCATATAGTTCGTGTAATGGATCTGGACTCGACAATTTAGAAGTGACCTATTTGTCTACCCTATCCGTTCTACATAATGGTCAATAAAAAAATTAACATTAGGATGTAATTTATAAAAAAACGAACGTTATGTCAGACGTGACATTTTTACATTGTTCTTCTCCACAGGTTGTTTGGGGGTGAAAAGATCTGCGTTTGCGCCACCTAAGAATTTTTAAACTTCCTTCTTATCGAAAAGAACTTTGACCTACTTTATGCCTTTTTTTTCTGAATGAAGTAACGCCACAGCCGCAGTAAGCATTTTAACAATCTCTGAGGAAACCTATAACATTAATTTAGTAGCAGCCTCCCTGCGTTAAAATTTGGACAACGGCTTCCAAAAGAATAATATCGAAGTCCTTTCAATAAAGATTACTCGAAGTTGACGTAAAATGTGAACGAGTGGTGCGAAAGACCATTTTTAGGGGATTTTGGGGATTTCTGTGGCCATCCTTCACCACACACTCCCTTATCGATGATATGGTACACTTTAACTCTAGTATACTAACGTCCTATACACGAAAAAAGGATCCTTACTGCCTTGACGTTTATTATTGGCGTATCGATGCTTCCCTGAGAAAAATTTAATTGTTCAAATTAACGGTTTCGCGCGCTACACGTAATATATTAAGAAACGTTGATAACCTTTTCAATGCCGAACGTCTATTGTTGCGAATTATTATTAAAAAAAAAACTACCGTTAATAGCCCTCCTCGCGCGCATTCCTCTTAAGCGTAATTTATGCGACGGTGACCAAGCGTCTTCCGTTTTGTTTTCCAAAAAACTAATGCGGTTACGAAGATAATTCCGCACCTTTTCATTAATTGCCGCGCCGATGTAAATAAAATCAAAAATAGAATACCAGTTTTTACACCTATCTTGACACAATGGCCAAGTGGGGACCGTAATCAGGTGGGGAAGCTTTGGAGGGGACCAAAATGTAGGTCTCTGGGTCCATCGTCGGTGGGTGGTGATCAGTTTGTCGTTGCACTCTGGTAATACACCGCTAACGTGCAGAAGTCGAGGACTTCCGCATCAGAAGGTCGCACCAACGGGCCATGAAGCAGAATCACGTACATGAGAGACGGTGGTAACCAAATAACAAAGGAGTGTGCAAGTGCCGGTTATTCTTCATCCCAATTCGTTCACCTTTTGCATTGGATGCTTGCGACCAGTGCTTCGAAAGCTTCCCAATTATGGCGACCGATAATTGATCGTAGTTGTAGTTGTGTACCGGTGGCCAATTTAAAACTGAACCGCCGTGGCTTTTTAAAGAAAGTTTACCGGGTGTTTTTTCTATTTTATATCTGTGACCTTCACTTCTATTCCGGTTTGCAAATGTCTAAGATCGTGTGTTAACCACTAAAGATTAAATTCCGTTGTCGACTTCTAATAGTATTTTCTTGTAGAAATTCTTTGAACATTGCCTTACTGAAGAGCAAAGTTTGTTTAAGGTAACTACTGCTTTAAAGAAGATTAAAGTAGTGTCAAAAACTTAAGTAAACATTGGATGTTCAAGTACTTGTACACATTGAAGAAAAGAAGTGCCGTGTCAACATTTGAATAGACTGTGACAACTACTGATTAATATTCAAGTTGCGCGTGGTTTTACTTTCTTAAGGATTCTGTTCTAATTTTGCGTTAAAATCTCTCCTAAGAACGTTTACCTTACTTGTAACTGTTTGAAATTTGTGCTCAAACTCATTATTGTGATTAGTGAAACTACGTTTTTTACTTTGGATTGCAAATTTAATGTGAGTAACCTTAAAATATTGGAGACTTTAATGATAGGTTAGCACACATTTCAATGATTTATGCGAATAAGTCAGCTGCTGCGTACACCTAACGCATGCAAACACAATTCCCCTAACGAAAGTGTCATCCAGAGGAAATTTTCTCTTAAGTCCATGCGCACATTGTAAGCCTAGAGCAACGGAAGTACATATCTTCATCGACAACGACGAATAAGTACAACTAATTGACGTTAAGACACATTTACCTAATAGACCAAGCAACTATGTATTCTCGTAAATATGCAATGCTCCAGCATCCGGTTACGCAAATTAATCGCTTACAATAACATATGTTGAGCTTTTGTGCAGAATGGAATTACGTTCGCTTAATTTACAATTAAATTGAGTTCGTTTACACCGCGTTTCTTTAAAATTAGGCGATATTGTTGTGCCGTTCTACACGCGGCCGGTGTGGCTAATTAAAATTTTCGGCGGATTAAAATACCACCCCACGTTTCGTATTCTATGCGTATCTATCCTTCGATTCATTTTTGATAGGAATTATTCATGAGTCCGCTTATTATTCTAGGCAGTTTCCTCCAAAAATGTTTATTTGGTACTTTGAATCTTTAATTCATATACAAACAGGATTTGGGCTTGAATTATTTCTTCTGGTCTTAATTTTTCCGGTTCCTGCCACTCGAATCAGATTTTTGGTTCACTTTAGAGCGAGGCAGTTCAAAATCATGCCTGGAGCAAAAATTCAATGCGGATCATGCACAGGTTTAATTATTTTAACAATCGACGAGAGATAATGACAGATTATGTACGGTTGTAATAACTAATTATCGGCTTGGTTAAGGCGCATTGTGTTATTGAATTATTGCCTTAACAACGAGGAAATTGTTATTGCAACTCATTTGAATAAAACGGCTATATTTTTTAAGGAGCGTGGACTACGTTTTCCTGTCGTATTATTTCTAATGCTCATTTGAAATAGACAAGCTTTTCTTCATACCTGCATCAACCTGCATCAAACGTACAAACTAAAAAACAAACAAATTAACAGACATCAAAACTGCACAAATGCAACGACTAACTTGAGTTTCAGCGTAGAATTATTATTTCAATGTTCTCGATTTTATTCTTCTAGTTGTGGTAGTTTTGTCCTTTTACCATAGATATCATTGATAGGTAGGGGCGGGAAAGAATAACCCTACCACAGAGGGCACTGCGTGTCGTAAGAGGCGACTAAACAACTGCATCATGCTTCAAATAACCCAAATTTTAATATACTGTACCTTTCTAATAACAAAGGATCTGAACTTATGACCGTTGGCGGTGGTTTTTAGAGGAATTAATGTGTGGTGTTGTTCCTCTTCTAACTGGAAAACAAAAAGAAACAGCGAGTTCAAGGATCAGTGCTATTGAATATGAGCCGGATTAAAAGTCTAGTTTCCGAATGCGAGCTGAGTGTCAAAAATTCCCCCTACTGAAAATCATATGCGATTCTTGTTTCTTTTCCGAGCCAGAAACCATATACTCTGCTATACGAGTACTTTAAATAGTTTAAATATAGTATCCAGAACATCCTGTTTAGTCCAATTTATAGACAAAACATGATCGCATTTCGTATCTTATAATGAAGGAAAATGATTCTAAATTCTAAACAAAATATAACATGGACATCACATGATTTTTGTAATGTGCTTTATCACCACGGTTCCTTATTCTAAATTTAACGTAAGTTAAAATAATAAAACCGTCCTTTCTTCTTCTATTTATAAGTCATGCATATACATATGTCCTTGTCTTAAAACAATCAAAATAAATATCCTTGAATGCTTAAAAATTACTAAAATTTTAAAATGAACCTATGCAATATTCAACAAGAAATCAAAAGTAATCAGTGAAACTGCGATAAATTCATTGAATACTTTTCTGGCAATTTTCACCCCAACACTACAAATTACCCTAAAAGGAGACCGCAATGCCCCTTTTTTAAATTAAATTTTACGGTCCCTAAGCGTCTTGCTAAACATGACAAGCTTGTTCGAGCCTGATGGTTTTTAAAAGATCGATAAGCAACCCTCTAGTCACACACAGCAGTGTCGCCCTTTCTCATTTTAGAATATGAAATTTTCAAGGAATTTCTATTTTACTTATATACTTCCTATCTATACGGAGGGGTGTCACTCTTGTAGTAGATGACATCTGTTTTATAGCAGATGTTAAATTGACAGTATGGTTTGACAGAGTCCTTCTTTAACAGTAAGAATAGATCATCACTTTAACGGTAAGGGTAGATAAACTTCATCAAATTATTTTGCATTGTAATGACTTCCGACATCATTCTTATTAAAATGCGACAAAAACCAAGTTTATGATTTTCTGTCCGTCCGTCCGTCCGGCTGTGAACATAATAACTCGTGAACGGTTTCGAATTTTCCAATTTTGTTTTCAGTAATAGGTAGAAGGGACTAACTGATTAAATTTTGGCCAACGCTCGTCAACCGGAAGTAAGCTTGTTGGCTACATTGGTGCAGTTTATTTTATAGTTTTTGATGAGTAAGACTCAATTTTTTCGCATTGTTCTATAGGTACCTATACGATTATGTCGGGTCTATGGTGAGGTCTATGGATAATAAATTATCCACAGTCTGCTTTTGCTTCTGAAAATTCGGGCAAGGTACCTAACTTAATTCTAAGATTCAGGTGTAAGTTTGGCAACTCTTCCCCAATTTTAACAAAATCGCTCGCAAAATCGTAGTTTCGAAGATATCGTGAAAGCTTTCCATCTTCGTATACTTTCATGGGGCAACCACACAGTAAGGATGAAAGTATAGGGAAATAAAACAACTGTGAACGGAGCTGGGCATGAATGAAATCAATGTGAAAAATCTCACTGATTAAAGCCTAGGAATTGTAAAGAGGTTATGCCATAAAAAATGGTCTTTTAGAAATCTAGTTCAGGGTTTTCATTTTAATAGGTATAAAAGTAAACTCTCTTCACTGTTGTTCTCGAACATTTTATTATGTACTAGGGAATGCAGAAACCTTTTTCCAAGATTTTTACATGTTCCCTCAGGGAGAATGTTCAAAGTTCATCATTTTTTGTTAAGATTTCTTAATATCTTGACGGATATGTTAATATTGTTCCCAAAGTTATTTCGAAAGTTCTAAAGTACCACAATAAATGAACCCTTGAATTTGGCTAATCGGTTAGTGAAATTATGTTATAAAATTTTAATTCTTGAACTAAAATTTAATTCTTGAAATCCAAATCAGTTTCAATAAGGTTGAAGCGCTTAGCATCTAGAGCTAGAGATATTAAATTCTTCTGGTAATAGGTAATACTTGGGATTTTTTTTATTACAAAGGTCTCGAATTCCATGTTTGTTTGTTACGGGTAAGCGCAAATTTAACTTCCAAGAACGTGATTTGTGTACACGATTCGTTACTCAATTTACTGAATTTTGTTACTGTTTAGTATAATTTTAGAAAATCCTCAGTAATTCACTAGTAACAAAACATACGATTATAATGACGCCTCCAACAATAGGGTCGATTAAACTGAACTTATTGCTAAAAATATCGACAGTTTCAGTTATAATTTCATCACTCTTATGTACTATGCAGTTAAAGTTTTGCGCGGAGATTTGTTTTATTTAAAGTTTACAAAATGGCGAATTTTTTATTGGTTAGGGTCTTTTGTACTACCAACCCCAATCAATTCAAAAACAGTTTAACCCCTAATCCTTCACTCAACAGTTTAACAGTACGCGTATATCTCATGATGAGCTTAGAAATGTAACCCTATATTTCTATTAAAAAAGACTGAATTTGCACCCGATCGCTGCAACCTTGGCGCCAAAAGCAATTAAAGAACAACAGCCCATTGAAAATGAGTAGTTAAATACGACACATATTTCGTTTACCGCAATTATCCAGATAAATTCTTTACATCATCACGACCAAAATTTGTAAAGAATGAAAAACTCACTTTTATTCAATCTGAACCTCAAGTATTTCACCCCTAATTGTCATGTAAATTTAGTCGAGCGCCAAATAATTTTAATTGTTCCCAATGGTAATGTATACGGGGTGGACCATTCAGTTACCCAAATTCTTCCATTACCTTGATTACATGCTTGTGGAAATTAATATGCAATTTCGACGGTTCGGCGGCTTAATAACCTTCACGTTGCCTTAACGTCTTCATTTTTTCCGCGCCGCAGAATTTAATCAATGCATCTTCCTCGCTATTTAAGCACTCGTGCCTTTAGGCCTAATGCAAGACTGTCTTTAGAAAGTGAACAATTTCTGCTTCCGAAGTATTATCTTAAGGTGAAATTCGCTTAGTAACAAGACTGTCAATCATCATTCACGCATACACTAGACGCTTAAGGATATCACACAAATAAAGTGAAGTTTTTAGTATCGCTTTTTTGGGTGCGCTGTCACTTTCCATAATTCCTGTCCGTGTTCTCCTGGGGTAAAGTCGTGCTCGTTGCAACTACTGTAACCTAACATTATTTTTGTGTATAGCTACCGAACTTCTGCCATGAATCCATCAAACTAAGTAATTTATGGGAAGGTAAATTTAATTTATCGGAACGGAAACTGAGGCATCTTCTCACGAGATTTTTGTTTTTATGAAATCTTGTGAATTTAACCTCTTTCGAATGTGGAACGGGCGCATTTTTCGCCAACCATCTACGAGAAAATCGTCAACCCGGAAAACCATTAATTTTATAAATCTCGAATGTCGACGGGTTGCACTTCTTATTTCACCTCCTACGTGTTCGTTAATAGTTACCGGTCACATGCATGCTGCAACAAACTGAGAAGTCACGAACTTTGGCGAGATTAAGCAACAAATCCCTAGAAAAATTATCTGTAATTCTCATCGTAGGTAGTTACCAAACTTTTTCTCGCTTGATTCTTAAAAGGAAATTTTTAGTCGACCTTTCCACATCATTTCCAATTAGGAAGACATTCGTGTGTTGACGCCTGCGAAA